TTTAAAGTATACTGTCATTGTAGTAAGGACTCATGAATAACAACATTAATGTAGAAATGTTCAGAATGTTTTGTGTCACTAAAAGGAAAGAAATAATCTTAAATGACTAAATATTAGCATGGTTACTGCTCGTATAAATCTTATACAAGTCGAGCTCTAATTGTGGTGACAGCTGCAAATGAAAAGTTCAAGTCACCACTTCCTCAGATAGTAGTCTTTCTGTATACAGGATTCAATTACAAAAGCTACATGTATATTTTCCCACTACCTTGTCTCCCTTTAGACTATATCCAGTGTCCTTACTGTCAGCGGAGGTTCAACGAGAGTGCAGCTGACAGACACATCAAATTCTGCCAGGAGCAGGCCGCCCGAATGCCCAACAAAAGCAAGTCAGGAGATGCCAAAAAGCCTCCAGGTCGCACACAGGTACACGCACGCACGGATAGGAGAGGGGACTGCATTTGAAATTAAACAGACATTAGTTCCCAAAAAGTTGATTCTGTTCATCTGGACATAGCATTTTAAGTGGGAGAAACATTTCATCACTCATTCAAGTGACTTCTTCAGTCTTTTGGGATTTCCTTACCTGGATGATTGAGCATGGATCTAAAGAGAAAATAGTTTGTTGTTAGTTTTTTTAACCTTAAATTTTTAAAAAATGCTCATAGGTAGGTTTACAAAACCTATACTGATGATTGATATGTGTGGCACTTCTGTGTTATGGCTAATTGCTGATAATTAAGTCGTTTTGCTTATAAATCATTGTCTTTTATGATCATGGTGGGACTCCCACTCTGCAGCAGATGTAGAATTACAAGTTACTTAGCAACAGCTATGGTGCATGGCTGGGGAGTTAATTTGGTAGCCAATAAAAACAGCAGGGTTTAAACCCTTCTGGTTAAGAGCTCTGATTCCCCATTGTAATAAAACGACTTCAGTCGTTAATCGTTATGTCACTGAGCCTCCCTGCTGTGTCGTGTTTTTAGATTTGTTATGTGTTGCAGTTCTTTTTCTCTCCATTTTATAGCTTTGAGATTTTTCTTCTAGATCGCAGTTTTAAAACAAACACTACAACCACAAGCCGTTCTGCTTATGTGGTCGTATAGCGATATGATATATATGTTTTTGTATATGTAACTATGTTAATGACTTTTCAGCCATCCATAGCTGATCTTTTGTACCAAGTAGTTATTTTTATTGCCTTCTCTCTGTCTTCAGTACAAGCCTCCTGCTGCTGCAAAGAAGGCCAACACTCCCGTTGTGCCAACCATCCCTTCAGCTTCCTCTCGTTTACCCCAAAGATCAGGCCTTGGACAGCCCACTGGTACGAGACACAGTGCTATACTCCTCATCCCCCCCAATATTGTGAATTTGTGACTGACTTCATTGCATCAAACAAAACTAATATGCACATTGTCCTCATTTGTGTCACCCTCTCTCTCACTTAAGGAATCCCATCTAGTAAGGCCTCCTCAACAGGTTCAGTGAGGAATAATCCCTCCGGGCTCACAAGCCCACCGTCAGGGTTAGTACACAAGTCCAGACAGGTTTTTATTTACTGATGTCAAGTGGGTACTGTTTTTTTTTTTTTACCTTTTATTGTGCCTTCAGCCGTGTCTATTCAAATATCTGTTGGAACAGTCAATCTTTGTACATGTTTTTACAGCCCGGATTTTTTTTTAAAGAGGTGTCATTTCGAACAATGTGAGTCAAAACAAAATGTAACGTCAGGACCGAGAATAGAGCAAGGCTGCCAAAAAACAACAGTTTCATTTCTCACTTTTATTCTTGGTATCCAAGACGTTATGTCTACGCGGTGTCTCTACAGAAAACATTTATTTCAATGAATAACTTTGAAACATCCTTGTCCTGGTTTTCTTTTTGTTTTTCTCTGATATCTCTGTCAGTGTGGGAAGTAAATCTCGAGTAGCAAGTTCTGGCTATGGATCTGTGAGGAACGCTCAGACTGGACTCAACAAGAAGAAAGTAGACTCCTACATATCTAGGTGAATAAACTTCTTAAGTCATAACCTCCACAGAAAGAGTGGAGAAAATCAATTGGTGACCTCTCCTGACCTCTGGTGGCTTGGTGAAGTATTACATATACTACCTCTAATTTGCCTAAGAATGTGCAAATTTCAATTTTAGTTGGAATTAGATTTAATTTTACTTTAAGAAAGTTTAAAAAAATAGGGATGAGTCTTACCTGCACATTCATTTAAACAAAAGAAACTTGCATGCACAGTTATAACGACCGTGCCACCCATACGTCTCTAGCTTCTGGTTGCTTTGATTATCGTTATTGCTTTGGAGCAAAACAATTTCCCATTTAATCAAACTGAGGGGAAATATGGGATAATACAGTTTACTTGACATGAGCTTAAGTGGCATTGACATTCGTATAAAGACGTGTAAAATCCAAATAGAGCTTTGCCCTGACGTTTCACTAGTCGCAACTTTGTCTGCACAAATTCTAAAGTTGCTGCTGTCTTTTCTGTTTTCTCAGGAATGATATAGATGGCGCGAATGATGTTGGGAACGGCGGAATGAAGAGCAAGTTTTGTCACGCTTGTGGGACAAAGTACCCTGTTGAATCTGCCAAATTCTGCTGCGAGTGTGGGGTCAGGAGGATGTGTATTTGATAGCAGTCAGAAGAAAACGAAAGCAGGGTTAGGATTTAGGTAATAAGAATTGAGGGAAAGGTGAAAAAATAATTAAATCCATCTTTATTTTCCCACACTGATCTTATTTCCTGGCAGTAAAGATGGTGTGTGCAGTCACACTGAATTTTATCCAAATTTCATTGCATAACTTGCAATAAGGAGTGCACTTAGCTACTGTGTTTTGCGTTGACTAGTGGCCGGTTGATCTCTGTGCCGAACAGATTTGGTACACAGATTAATCGGTTTAAATCATGATGTGGCTTTTACAAGCACATCCCGTAAGTAGCTTCTCTTTCACTGCTTCGTTTGCTCACAGCATTGCTGCTGTTTCCATGAACTTATAAAATGAGCATTACTGCCATGAAACTACAGGCCATAGAGGGTTTAAGAATTTGTGAGAAATAAATATTTCCAGCAAAGGAGAGGTGGTTGGTCATTGGAAGGAAGCTATTAAATATTATGCATCTTTAGAAGAGAGTAGAGGAAAGATGAATTAAAAGTGGGTTTGGAAAAAAAGAAAGGAAACATGTTGGGTGGCTGATTAGAGGTGAGATTAACTGCCCTGCATCATTATCGCTCTTCAGCCCTTGATTTGAAGTGCATTCCTCAATCCCACCTGTCTCCACATTGATGTGCAATAATAACGACTACTGAAGAAAGCAGTGTGATTTTTTTTTTAAAAAGAAAAAAGAAAATAGCTCCAAATTTTTATCTTATCACCCTGTTTTCTTGGCAACCAATCACAAAAAAGGTTGAGTTGTTACAGGTCAGTGCTCCCTTTAAGGTCACTTAACAGGAAAAACCTGTTGTCTCATATTACATTATACCCAAATGTAGCATTTACTCATTCCCTTTATTCCCACTAGGTTTATACATTTATTTATTTTCTTATTCCTTTTCATTTTTACTGACTGAACAGTGATTGTATGGTTTTTGTTTGTTCTTTTATGTTCTACAGAATTAAAATAGGTTTCATTTGGAATTGTGTGAAACCAAAACACACCTCAGTGTGTTGAAATTGCTTTTTTTTTTCTTTCTCAACAGTGTTTCTACTGAGTCGGTGTTCAGTGCATTAAGGTATTTAGAATCAACGATACGGTGACACTAAAGTAATTTTGCTGTCGACCTTTGCTTGATGATCCCCACATAGGTTATTTTATGGTGGGACTCGGAAGAGCGGGGACAAATCTCTCCTCGAGGTGCATGATTAATTATCTAAGTAGGGCATTTATTCCCGGTAACAAACTATATTCACGTTACGTGACGAGAAAGGTTTAAGCCTACTGGAGGGCTGCGTTTTCCTGTAATGATAACGTCAGCTGTTAGACTGGATATGATTGTGCACCAAATGCCGTGTACATCCACCATCAATAAACTTCTTTGAAGACAGCTGCAATTGTGAGTCTGGCTAATAAGTAACACACACCTTATCTTTGTTTGGGATATAAATATATTTTTTGAATAGTATGCCGTGTTATATACAATGTTAGTCATCAGCTTAAATATACAGTTTAAAGACAGAAGTTAGCTACATAACAACAAGTAATGTATGCTACATGACGGGAAACAAATAGCTGCTGTGCTGAAAATAGCTGCAAAATGTAGCAAAGGTTGCATGCTTATATTTTCTATAATTGTGTAAAAAGGGAAAAATTTTTTTTAGGTAGATATCATTAATCAGAGCACCAACTGTGACAGTAAAAGCTCGTACTGTAGCTATATCCCAGGATAGGAAAAAAAGGTCTGTGACCTGAGCTTAAATAACTGTGGCAAAGCATGCTTTTAATATATAAATCATTGTCAATGAGTAATCAACACAGTGTCATCTCAGACCGTACCTTGACACGCAGCCTAAAACAACTCCCCAGACAGGAAAATTAAAAACAAAAATTGAGGAGCTTTAGATAACCAAGATAACAAAGATCTGCCAGGGCTAGTTATTGCAATCCAAAGTGAAAGCAAAACTATATCTGAGCACCTTAATATTTCCTAGTTATGCTTCAGCAGCCACTACTAAGTGCAAGTTAATGTCGTAGCAAGTGCTTGGAAAAACAAAGTTCAGTTTAAGCACCTTTAAAGTTAATCATGTCCACTTTTTATAGCTAAACACAACTTCAGCTATTAAAATGGTTTGCCGTGATAATAAAAAAAGAAAACATGCACTTTAAACTGTTTGTAGTCCACATGATGCTGCATGAAAGGTTGTATATGCAGCTGGTCCTTAGTGTGTGGGAAATCGGGATATTAGGAAGACTTAGGAATTTCATTTCCGCTTGACTGAATATTTTTGCTTCTGTGTGGCTGGGAAACTTATCTGAAGAGTCAGTAGTCATACAACACCTGAAACAGCTGCTACAGAAATATACTGGTACTTGACAGGAAAGCTTAAATGAAGTGGAAGCTCCTCCTCGCATAATCCACCGAAGCAATGCATACTGCAGAGGAACTGACAGCGCATGCAAGTTTTGAGCTTCATGCTGTGATTGAGTTTGGATTCAGGTATCCATTTATAGAGAGTTTAGCATCTCGTAGCATTCAGTCATGGCAGAAAGAATTGCCTTGGCTTTGCACAGTTTTTTAGTCTCCTTTCTGTTTTTCGTCCCCTCGTTCCTCCTTCGTCTTGTTGCTCCCCTTCTCCTCTTTTAACTCTCAGTGGGCATTTTGGTCTAGTCAGTAAAACACAGACACATGCTAATTATTGTTGAGTCAAGTGGATAAAGGTAAGGAATTAGCATTACAATGATAAATTATGAAGACATTCTTAGCAAATATGTACTGTCACAGCAACGTAGCCTGCACATTATTGATGACTATTTATCCCTTATTGTGAACTGAAACACACCAACTTAACTCTTTGCACAGAAAACTGAAGCGTAGATTACAATCACCATACAATGCCACAGTATGTATGTGAGGTTTACTCAAAGCACATCAGTCACAACATTACAAACACCTACATAGGTCTCCCTCACTTCTAAGGCAGCTCTCGCACGGAGATGATTTCACAAATCCTTTGAAGGCGTTTCATAGTATCAGACATCAAGATGATAACATCAGATCCAGATAGTCCTGAAATGTCAGGCTCACTCATTTGGAAAACCTTTCAGCACGTCCCAACGATTCTCAGTTGGATTCACATCCAAGGGATTTGGAGCCCAAGTCAACGTCTCGAAGATTTACTGTGGTATTCCTGTATTTTTGTTGCCATGGAGGAGTGTGTGTACCATGTTAAACTGTTTAGGTAAGTATTAAGTAACACCCGCTTAAATGTCAGGACCCAGTGTTTCCACATTTTGTGAGGTATATAACCACTGCATGCTGGGAACACTCCACAAGAGCTGCTGTGTGTGTGCCTGTTTCCCTGCTTCTGCATCATGAAGAACTGAGTGAAAAGTGGCTGATCTTTGCACAATGCAAGTTTGTTTAAAAGAAATCAAATATTGTCACAATGTGAGCCACTATGTTTAAGCATGAGCTTGTCTGGTCAGACTTGGTGCACTCTGCGAGTCTGCGGTTTGCTCTGCTGTGTGACTCAGACTTCAGCAATGAATCTGAATCATATAATCTGATTCCGATCCAACTCTTAAAATGAAGTTTGGGTGAACAGCACGGTGCGTCACTGATCCAGAACTTCTTGGGCTGTTTTTTCCATGATAGTTTGTGTAAAAAACTTCTATAGCATTCTTTGAATTATCTCCCTTAGTAAGGTGAGGAGAGATTACCACGAGCATAACCAATGAGAGACCAACCTTTCGAGACTCTTATACCCTGTTACCAGGTAAAGTAGTTTAAGAAACAAACAGTCTTCTGTTTGAATTAACTCTTAAAGCTGGGCAGCTTCATCACCTGTCAGTGAGTCATCCACTGTCTGGCAAGATAAAACGCTTCAGCCAGCCAACATTCCATTCCGTCAGTTGTCAATGTTAAATGTTGCATCTCAGTCAGAGAAACTGAAAGAAATACTTTCCTAAGCTGGTCACTTCTAAGGTTTAAAGTACAAACGTGAACTTAAACTGCTATTTCCACCAATCAGCTACAACATTTAGGCTGATGACAGATGAAGTGAATAACTCATACAGTGCAAAGCACTGCAATATGACTGCAATAGAAACAAAAATCATAGCAGTAATCTTCCCCACCAGAAAGAGTTTGAAAAATGGGCCAAATAGTCCAAGGTGTTGACTATCTAAGGCCAATCCAACTGAGCGTTCATGTACAGAATAAACTTGATCCACAGAGGACCTACTTTGCAACCCAGAGCACCTCAGTGCCAGACACCCTCAGAGGACAGGTGCACATACCCTGAATGGTAAGAGCTGTAACATGAGGCGAGATGAGGGCGACCTTCAAAATATCATGCAGGTGGTTTTAATAGTGTGGCTGCGTTAGGCTTGGGGTAAATTTCTTAACATTATAATCAGATAATGTGTAAAAAGTCAAGACTTACTGATTTCTCACGACAATGGCAACTCATCGAAATTTCGACGGACGTGATCAGTTTTCGAGTCATCTGGAGAAACGGTAAGTTCCGCATTTTGCAGGTTAGGTTATGTAAGGTATGCACAGACGTCTGCAGAAGAGAGGTGAGACCTTTTAAACTTAACAATGAACTCTATGCACCTGGGTCCAGCTACCATTATGATTATGGTAATGCAATGCCTGACTGGGTAGAGCAGTGGTGAACAGGTGCATGTTAAAAAGGGCTACCTTCTAAATGTATCATCATCATGCATTTTATCTGATAGACACAGAATAATTATGACTCACTGCGTTGTCTGTTGTGCAGTTGCGTAGCTTGTGTGAGAATACTGAACAGTCTGAGATTTGCAGCAAGCTTGTGATTTCTTCTGTCTTGAATGAACAAAACATGAAGTAGTCAATGTTAGTCATACCACTAAAGATTGTTCAAACATTCACAAAGCAACAAGTGTTTTTTTGTTATTTTTCAGAATGTTGGAAGGACATATTGATTTTAATATTTTTGGTGGTGTCCATAGATAGAAGAGAAAAATGTTGACGCTGAGCAATATTTCTTCCAATCAAAACCTTACAACAACTAAAGGCAACCCCCCCCCCCCAAACTTTGCTTAATTGTAAATACTGAGGTTTCTTTCTGTTAAAAGGGATTTTTTTACTTCCCACTGTCGCCAAGTGCTTGCTTTCAAGGGGTGTCTGATTGTTGGGGTTTTCTATCATTGTAACAGAGAGGCAACTGTAGTTGTGGGTTTGCACTGTGTCTATATATATATATATATATATATATATATATATATATATGTAAATACTGTAGTATACTGTAAATAGTAGCTAGTTACAGTAAATGGCAATTATTTACAGTGCATATCTGTAGTAATTTAACCTTGCACTGTATGAAAAGAAGTTTCCAGAGACCACTTGTTAAACTGACAGGAAGTGTGAGCTGACTTAAAAGTGTATTTTCAATTGCACAGCTGACCTTAAAATAGCATGTGAGTGACTCTTTCTAACTTCATGTTTCACGCCAAACACGCAAACCAGCTTCTTTTCCTTGTTTTGCCTTAGTTTCCTTGTCCCTGTACAGCTGCCTCCAGATATTTCTTGCCAGTACTTAGAAAAAGTATTAGGTGAAAGTCCAACATCTGATGCCAAATATTAGGTTGCAGCTCCTTTTGCACTATTCCCACCTCCAGTGTCTAAATTTTTTTTGCTGTAACCTGGCTGCTTCCTATTACACTTTTTCCATCTCGTCCTTGGTGATCATATGTCATATATACACCTATATGATTTTTGTACAGTTAATATGATCTATACTGAAATCCTGGGATACATCAATCCATCTGTATTAGAGGGGAATTAGCCTTTGAGCTGTAACTGAGCTTTAATGCTTTTTTCTTAGATTACAACAAAGACCTTTAGCCCAGCTGATATATATCTGTATACATACAGAGTCACAACTGAGCACACAATGTTTGGGGTTAAGCAGCGTGTCTACATGGTAAGTTCAAATAGTTATTTAAAACAAACTAGGCATAAAAATAGAATCCGTGTCTTACTTACTGTCCTCTGCAGTTCCGTTTGAATGATGGCGATATAATCACTTCTGATGTTATCAAGTTGTACACTACCACAGGACAGAGAGAGAGGTAGAAGAAGGAGAACAAGGAAACTAATGCAAAAAAGAGGCTTAAGGTTTAGTGTCAGAGTGTGGGGGACACAGGGAGAGAAAGAGTGAGACAGAAACATAGCGGTCAGCCAAAAAAATCTAAAACATATTTGCATAAAAAGCAGTTTAAACAACCAGCTGTGCCCTCCTCTGTGAAATGCACAGGTGACTTTCAAATCTGGAAAGACTGCACATCGTGAGTTATGCACAAGCAAAACAATGCATGCTGCTGATTACTTAACCCGATATGTCTT